AATACATTTTGTTACGTACATTTTGTGTTGTATTATTATTATTCCATGCTTATTCAAGCTTCAACAGGAACTTTCTAAACCCTTCTACTTTATCCGCAAGAAAAACAACTGGGAATAAACTATCCATGCTTACAAAACAACATGACAAAGAAGTCATGTTTCCTTTTACGATATTTTATGTCAGCAAATTACATTTAGTATCTTGATTAATTGTACAATAGGTTTTATTGGTAATACTACTTGTAACGCTAATACAAAATGACAATTTAGGCTAGTGCCATAAGCTCAAGCTAGGATTTCTATTTACGAATGGGAAATAATTCTGGAGGATACTGAAATTAAAATGTATTATGCTTAGTGGGAGCCATATCTAGTTAATAGCAACAAAAAGGAAATTGTGCCATTGGTTTTTACTGATCCAACAGATTATTGGTTGACAATAATAGAAAGTGGACAGTGATATAAAATTATAAATTTTCCCAGAAAACTAAAAAGAAGAGCAGAAATATATGTAGCCTGAAAATGAAAAATGCAGATAAAAAATTGACAAGACACCCGGATAGATGAATAAAGTAATGCGTAAATTAATTTTCATGAGAGAGCTTTGGCGTAAAAAAAAAAAATAGAGAATAAAAAAAGTTTCTAAAATGATCTAGGAATCCTGGGATCATTCAATCAAGAAGAATAAAATGAAATTAAAAAAATGTTTCCAAGAAGAGACAAAACGGATTTGGGAAACTACTAAACAGCAGTATCATGTTAAAGTCTATAAAATATGGACAACAACTGCTGTGAGTTATTCCTAAATTTGGCAAGAGATGAAGTGGAAAAATAAATAACAAATGAGATGAAATGAACAAAGACATTGTTAACAATGTATAAACCGTGGAACCCAGTGGCGAAAGTGATTGGCTATATGTAAAAGTAAAAGAAGAAAAGTGAGGATGCATCAACATTTTTTCAAAGAGTCAATCCTATTATTACTCGACTTCAGGACAAAACAGAATAACAAACCGAAAAAAAAAATGACATCAGAAAATGACAACATTCTTCTTCTTTTAGGTACCATGTCTCTGATGAATGTCGATGATAATGTCCCTTCCCAACATCTAATCTTCTGTAATTCTTTCTAAAGTTTGTCTTTTCACCATCCTTCTCAATCACTATTCTTCAATTTGTTTACACAAGTTTTGCAGAAATGTTGAGTTTATTCCTCTGTTGCAATCCATATTTCTTGTAAATGACAAATACTTCAAACCTTTCCGATTTTATTTCATTGTATTCTCAGCATCGTTCTGTAGAATCCCATTTCGTTTGCCTCAAGTCTATTCTTTCCATCTGAGGGGATTGTCCAGCATTTATTGTCATATAGTAAGATTGATAATATTTTACACTTTTTCTTTGTTTCTTATTACTTTGTTTAACTTTTGAAAGGCATCTTTTTTATTCCAATGTACCTTTGGATTTCAGTGTCAATTTCCCCCTCATCAGATATTTCTCGTACTTGTTTAATTTTGCTATCGCCAATTGGTAGTTCGTGTGATGGACTGTTACCCTTGCTGACAAGGATACATTATGTCTTCTTACAATTGATGCTTAGCCCTTTCTTTTTTTCTTTTATTTCCTTTAACACCTTCCGTAAGCGTCACTGTCGTTTACTTTCTATGTTTATTACCAATACTGTATCATTTGTGGCAACATTAAAAGCCAAACAGAAAAAATGAGATGAAAATAACGGATATTTTGAGAGAAAAAAATGTTGAGGATGTGGTAACATGGTTGAAAAAGAGAACATTTGAAAAAGTAAAAGAACAAAAAAAAAATAAAAAAAAATAAACAGAATTCTTATTAATTCCGACAAAAAAAAAACATTTTTGCGAGAACAAAAATCTATAAGACTGGCATGCGGTGGAGATTTATTTGATTTCATGCCTTTTAGTTGGGTACATTATTTAAATTATTCGGACTATTGTCCTCATCTTTGTCGCCATATTTATTATAACGTTTCGGCCGTTGTACGCTCCGGCCTTCTTCAGGTGGATGGAATGTTGAACTGAACCCTTTATTTCGCTCACTGGGGTAGACTGTTCTAGTTCCACTTGCCATGGATGTCAGTTATCAATTATCTCCTGTTAATTTCCCTCTGAGAGTTCTCCACTGCCTTAACCGGGTATTGAACTCACACTCTTTATGTCCTGTCATTGGATCTAACCAACCTTTATCAGGACAGATGGCACAGTGGATAACTATTTTTCAGTGATTCTTACGACACATGGTGGCAAAATGGCTGAACGTATTATCTAAAACCTGGAGAAAATAAACTCAATTAGTTTATTGTATTTTTTTTAGACATTAAACAGTTTGTGGGATGAACAATTATCCCATGCTGTTACGCGATTTTGGACAATTTTGCTGTTAAAACCGATTTATGATTTGAAGTCTTCTCGATGGGTACCTCGAGTTAGGAGATTGAGGCAAAATAACACGAGACTAATATGAAATTTATACGACTTTGGAGAAAGGGTGATCAACAGAGAAGTTTAGAAATGTCGGGGATATGTCAATGGGAATTAATTATGTCCGTCTAGGGAGTAATATAAACTTTATGGAGTCTCTGTATTTTTAAAATCCAAACGGATTATCCAATCCAGAACAGAAGAGCAAATCTAGGGAGCTTGAAAAGGATAATAAACGTATAATAATAATAATGATAATAATAATAATAATAATATATAAAAAGTAGACCAAATATTCTGCGCAAACTGTTCTATCTATGACAGATACCAATTTCCGACCAGTGTTCGAATCAAACAAAAAACAATTCTCGAGGAAGGTAATGCCAGAACGGTAAATCAATGTGGCCAATTAGAAAACATAAACGAGGAAATGACCAGGTCAAATGTCAAATATTTTCGGTGTATTGAAACGCGGGACAAACAATGGAGATTTATTCAATAACAAACACATGATCATATGCCGGCGGAGATAAAAATGAGAGAGGAGTAGGACTGATATTAGACCAGGAGATGAAGAAACCTGTTCTGGGATACTGTCTCTTTCCGAAAGAAAATATTGTCGTTATACTGAAAGGAACGCCTTTCAAGATGTCCATACTATTAGTATATGCATCAACAGCACAAAGTAAAGGAAGAGAAGATGAAACATCTACTCAAGACAACGCCAAGTCTCAATGCAGATCGCAAGAAATATTCATGGGAGACTTTATGCCAAAGTAGGCAAAAGGTGAGATGGTAAAATGGTTGGAAAATTTGAACTAGGAACTCGTAATGGACGCAGAGAAAAATGGCTCCAATGTTGCGGGTAAGATTGTAGTGTTCAGAGAAGCGTCCACGCGGAAGTTTTTTTTTTTCCTCAAAGTAACTTACTTAAATAAACTTAACTTACTTAAATAAACTTAACTTATTTAAATAAATGATCTGAGTAAAACATTATCCTTCCAGGGTTAATAGTTGATTTCAGTGTTTTTAGCAAATCACTGAACAAAACTGAAAGAAAATAAAAAACGAAATAAATATCTAAAGACTGAAGACACGATAGTGACAACTGTCCCCATCATTATCGGAGTACCTTGAACAGACTTAAGGGTTCATGCATAAATAATGCTAGTACTTGGAAACCAAACAATAATCGAATCCACATAGAGAAAAGCATATTGTTCTTCTATTATGTAGTGTGTTTCCTTCAGGGCGTGGGCGATGCAGGCTCTCCACAACTTTCTGTCATTCTATATAGTAAAAAAGATTATTTTTTGCTTTGCTCCCTAATCGCTGTTTTGTCAGCCAATTACAGAAGCTCGTTAGCTGGCTTAATATGCTGCTTTCCTCTGCCTCTGTTTCCTTCATTACGCCCTGAGAGTGTAAAAGTTTCCAAGTCCTCTTTCCTCATTATGCGCCCTAGAAATGTCAAATGTCCTTTTCTCGTTTCGGCGTCCATGGCCCTAAGCCTGACCAGCATTCGATTTCATAATATCTTTAGGACACAGATAGTAAAACATCAATGAGTAACCGGGATAAGACGACAGAATATCCTGAAGCAGTCAGATAACATCATTGGATTATAGTGACAAACGCATATGCAATACGCGTGTGATTCTCTGAGTCACCATGATTAATACCCAGTGACAAGCCATGGCAAGATAACTAGAGATAAATTCAACGGAAATTTTTCACGAGTTTTCCCTCTCATCAGATATCGCGTACCTATATGCATGGACATACACATACCTGCCTGAGGCTAAATATGTAAGATGGCGTCCAATTTCTGTAATAGGCTGCGATAACTTTAACACGTTGTTTGATTGTTAATCTTTCCATGGTTGAAATTGCCAAAGATTTAAGTTGTTAAATCTGAAAGAAAAAGAAAAAGAAATCATCAGACGCTTAAACTTAATTCGCATGTAAAATCGGTCAAAGTTATTGGAACATCCTTTAGTTCGGTTTTGAAGACGAAATGTAGATTTTCATTGTATCATGCACCCAAAAAAATTTGTCGTTACTGAAATGTAATGTTCATAATATTGCCAACATTTCTTAGAAAATGGTTTCTGTTGCCTCAGTTTCTTCATCATTTTTTACAGCGTATGAATGAATCTCTCTCTCTCTCTCTCTATCTATCTATCTATCTATCTATCTATCTATCACCTTCGATTCTTATATTTCTTCTCTTTTGCTCACTCACTCATTCACTCACTCACTCAATCTATCTATCTATCTATCTATCTATCTATCTATCTATCTATCTATCTATCTATCTGCTTCGACTCCTATTTTTCTTTTCTCTCAGTCAATCTACCTTTATATATATATATATCTAGATTCTTCAATTCCTATTTTTCTTCTCTCTCTCGTTCTATCTCTCTAATTATCTATCTATCTACGATTGCATCTATCTATCTATCTATCTATCTATCTATCTATCACCATCGAGCCGTATTTTTCTTCTCTCTCTGACTATCTGTCTCTCCATAGACATCGATTCCT